CTTGGCTAGAAGCTGAAACCTCTTTAAACTGAGGAGAAGTATTAGGGAGAGATAAAGGGGAAAAGAAGCCCACTCAAAGTTGAGGCCTTGTTGAGGAAAGATTTTGCATTAGCCTTAGCAAAGTCAATGTCAAGGGCACAAGGCCCCTAGTGTATACAAGAGAAACAATATTAAAAAAAACAAAATCTAAAGTTCTGCAAGTAGATCCCTAATTTTGTGCTATGTACTGACCCTATTCAAATCCATCAGAAGCAGGAAATCATGCAGTGGACTGGTCTGAGGCTACCATTATAGCCTGACTGAATATTCAGGATCAACAATGGAAGGAAAGCCCTGAAATTTGTCAGTGCTTTTAAAGCATTAACTTCTTCCCATCCACCCTAGACATTCCCGAATTGTTTTCACTGCACTAACACAGACTTCTAGACAGAAAGCACAGGAAATTACTCCTTCATGAAGACAGCCTGAAAGGTCCTCCTCCTTTTCCGCCCTATGAATTTAGGCCTCTAAGCTATAGGCTCAGTAACCCCTCTTCTTAATTTAAGGGCTAAGAGCTCTGTACGTGCAGTGGCAAGTTATCTAAGACTTTCTGAAAGAAAAAAGGAAATTTGATAATACTTGAAGGAGTACACACAACCTTTTAAGCCTTTTTTTATACATCATAATGGAACAAAAAGCATAGAAATCCATTTATTTTTTCCCCCTCTTCAGATCTTGGCTCTCTCTCTCCCTGATGAGACTAGACCCCTCCACTCCAGCTTTACTTTACAGTGACATTTTAAATTAGCCTTTTGGAAGCTAGGTCAAACAAAAACAAATAAATATTATTTAGCAGTTGTTTAAGGATTGCTTATACAAAAACTAACAATTAAAACAACCCAGAAATCCAGAGCATGGCATGGCATAATACAATGCAAGGAACTGAGATTAAGGCAGACAGGTCACAATGGGAAGCATAATGAGACAAGACTGAAACGAGCACAGGGAAGAAGGGGAGAGAAGCAAACATCACCTGAGCTACAGGTGAAGTAAGTATTATGCAGAAGCCTCTAGGTAACCTGGAAGAGTCTGACATCTCATGCCACAAGGTAACGTCATTTGAGGATTCAAGGATAGTGGCATGATCAGGGAAGGAGGGAAACATGACTGATGAAGAAATAGGAAAAGGGAGGTCAAACAGGAAATCCTGTTTTAAGGTGAGACAAGGCTAGCTCAGATTTTAGCTGGTGAAGAATGAGGAAAGACCTGGCATTGGTGATAAAATGAAGAAGTGACAGAACTGTGAGACTGGATTCAGTGGGAGAAGAAAGTCAGATGACTGAGACAAAATACATACTGGAGCTGTCAATCTAAATAATTTGAGACAGTAGCTAGATGCCAAGAAGAGATGAAGAAAAGTCAGCTAGAGGAAGGGAGAAGGAGGAAGGGGTTAGGGATAGATTTAAATGTTACTGTCACAGAGATTATAGCTGATGCAGTAAGCTAAGGCAGAGGACTAAATTAAATCCAAGAATGGCGAAGAAGATGGAATGATGAGCCCATAAAGGAAGAATCAGTGCAGTCAGAATGAAAGCAAGTGTCACAGACATTAAGGAAGCAGATGAAAAGAGAGAGATGTCTCAATGCTGGCTAACAGAACAAAAAGGATGGTACTAAAATTGTGCCTTAGTATTATCTAGAAGCAAGGCACTGATGACCTTAGGGTAATTCAACAGACTGAAAGCAGAGGAAGCAAGACCAAAGATCAACAAGAGTGGGCAGACAGGAAGTCAATACACCAAGAATAAAAATATGCACTTAAGTTTTTTGACAAACCGGAAACAGAGATAGGGTGGCAGCCTGAGAAGTAGGTTAAACTGAGGGGGATATTTTAATTTCAACTTCTAAAACAAGATAGTTGCAGAGAGCAGGAAATGAAACAGAAAAGATAAATTTAACAAGTGGTAAAAATTAAGGGGGAGTTAGAGCAGGAAGAAAAAACGGGTGAAGTCAGTAGGACACAAAGATTCAGAAGCAAAAGAGAGGAGGGGGACTTCTGAGGTGGAACAGAAACAAGAGAGGCAAAAGTAAAATAGGGGTATTAAAAGATTTGTTTGGGTGAATTTGTTCAGCACAGAACTACAGTAGTTCTCCTTTCACAAGCCCATAACAAATCTCATCTGGCATATCAGTGAAACAGTGAATTTTCAAAATTTACTGCAGAAAAGTGAAGGAGTTGTAATTCACCAGTAGATCCCATACTCTCTTCTATACCATGCAGTCAGTACCAACTGGAAAGGATTTGCTGCCGCTACTTAACCGTCACCTTACAGTGGATATTTTAGAATTAACGGAAAATTTATCACTCCAGACAGACTTTTAATTTAAGGATCTGTAATTGCTTTACAAATGCAAGCCAAAAAGAAAGGAACTAAAACATGTGAAAAGCCGTCATTCATTCTTTGCTTTATACTTGCACTCTGTGCTCCAGATGCAAAATGACAAAATATAGAGTTCTTCAGAGCAAAGAGCTTTTCTATAGAAAAGCCTGAAGCGCCAAGCATTTGTGACACTTTATAATGTTATATAATTGTCATGGTTACAGCACTAGAGGCATCTCTGTTCCCTTTCTGTTCTCTAAGTGCACTAATTCTATCATTCCTACATTACAGAGAACTAAACTGATATGGAAAATGTTTAAGTTAATTGCATAAGTTCAACAGAGATTTAGTAACAGCTGAAAGGAAGAGTGCCCCTGAGACTCATTGTCTTAGCCTTTGCTCTAGCCAAAAGACTATAAAATTACTTTTACCTTCAGATGGCTTGAAAAAAAGTTGTTAGCTATGAGACTGACCTCTTACTTCTGAAACATTTAGGTCTAATTCAAATCCTGCTGAAGGTAAAAAGAGTTGGACTAGAAAAGTGAAACTTTTGGGATTCAAAGCACCCCTCACTGGACTTGAGTCACCCCTCCATAACTTTTGTGAGTTGAGTGGCACCTGATTTCAAAAGCTAATTTTATATATGACAACTTACCTGTTTGCAAGGGGGTCAGGCAGTGGCATGGGGAGGGAGATCAGCCAGGCATGAACCAGCCTGACCCTGTGCTTATCTGCTTAGCTTATTTACTTATCTCCTCAGACTTTGCTTATGTCCTCACACCTTGGTACATCCTTCGAAGAATCTGGCCTTACTAGTCCTCTAGTTGAGAACCACTGGACTAAATCCTAAGGTTACAGTATAAGGCCCATGTTTACACTCTCCACCTGTGTTGATGTAGTGTTGGTATACAGGCTAAAAATCACTTGACTCAAATTTGGCTCCAAACCAAAATGTTATGTAAAGACAGGATCCTTGGGAGGTCATTTAGTTCAACACCCTGCCCAAGGCAGAAACATTTCTACGCAAGTCATCACAGTGGACTGCTTACCCAGCTTCTTAAAACCAGTTAGGAAGTCCTTTCTAACACCCACCCTCACCTAATTTTCCCTTGCTGCCACTTAAGATTATTACTCCTTTGTCTTCTTTCCCATGGGCTTGAAGAACAGTTCATCACCCTGCTCTTTATAACCACTCTTCATGCATTTAAAGACTATTATCAAATCCTCTCTCATTCTTCTCCAAACTAAAGAATCTCAGTTCATCCACTCTTTGCAAGTCACATTTCCATGAGCTCTAATAATTGTTGCTCTAATCATTCCTAATCTAACCTAGTTCCTTGACCTCTAATCATTTTTGTTGCTTTTAAAACCAGGATGACATTACTGTCCAGCCTGAGTTACTGAAGTCAACAATCACCACAAAGAGAAAAAAAAAGTAATTTTAAAATCTTGAGGTTTCATGCTCTAAATTGGTATTGATAACACAGAAAAAAAATGATTTTAAAATCATAGAGAAGTGGGGCTAGAAGGGACCTCCAGAGTTCATCCTGAGGCAGGATCATCCCTATCTAAACCATCCCATGCAAACCATAATCTAAACTCTACATAAAACTACCGTCAACCCTGACACAACAAAGACCTAACACCCTAACCTGCCACAACTAAAGCAGAGCAACTATGGCAGCTCATGTCCTGCATCCATAAAGTGTTGTCAATATATGCTTGAGTTCCTGGGTAGAGGGCCACATCCCCACTACACAGGGAGGTAACCCCCACCCCAGTCCATACCAATCTGACCATGGGGCAAAAGGTAAAATTCCTTCCTGACCCCAAATACACTAATCAGTCTGACCTGGAGTGCAGGGGCAAGACCCTCAAGCCAAGAACACCTGGCTTTGGTAATAGCAAGAGAACTGTAGCCTACACCCAATGCTTCTGGGAAGATTTAAAAATATACCACTGAAACTGTTATTTTCCCCCCACTCCCTTGGATTTTAACTCTCCGCATGAACTGAACTCAATTCAAGAGGTGTGACTGCTCAATGATGAGCCAGGGATGGAAGGAAACTAATTACTGGTTTACATCTCATCATTGCCTCTTGCTCATAAGCAAGCATGGCTCTTATATAAGTCCATAGAAAAGGATTTTTTTTTTTAATTATTTGTCCAGGTTAGGAGTAATTGAAGGCAGAGGAAACACAAAGCCCCTTTAAGTCTCACTTCTTTTAAGGCATACAGAGCCAAAAGTTAGCTACACAATCCTCACACCTGGTGTCTCAGCATCTCATCATCATCTTAGCTCAGTTGGTTAGAGCATGGTCAAACAACACCAAGGTCAATAGATTTTATCCTTGTAGAGGACGAGACCTTTCCTCCCTCAGGTGGGGGCTGGGACTGTTTGACCTCCGGAGGTCCCTTTCAGCTCAACTTCTATAGCATTTCTACAACCTTCCTCACCTGTCCTCTGAAGCAGAAGAGTGTAGTCGCACTCATTTCAAAGTAACGTCACATCAGGTCAGCCCTGAAGACGCTGAGACCCTTGGGGCACTTGAAATGGGACTCATTTTAAAGACTGAGAATTAAAGCACAGATACAGCCCAGCGTACCTACTACGCTAATTTCAGACATCATTGCACATACCTACTACCCCAATTTCAGACACCAAGTCTAGCTATTTGACCGGCCGCAGAATCGGTTGTAGCTGGCCGCCCTGTAGCCTAGGAGCCAGGCTGGCTAAACCTCATCAGGCACCAAACACATAGGGTTGCCAACCCTCCAGAATTGGCCGGGAGTCTACCCGAATCGCCATCAGCCCACAACCAGTAGGGAACCCAGGTCACAGCTGTCACGGGGGATGGCCTAGCTCCGTGCCCTGTACCAGGCTTTCCCTCCCCCTAGGGCCAGCACAAGGAGCACCTCCTATCACACCCCCGCCTCATGGAGAAAGCAGAGTCGCGGTACTGAGCGAGTCTGCCTCATACCCCCTCCCCCACCGCGGAGCCGGCCACTGACTTACCCAGCCGCCAGCTCTACGTGCTCCTATTGGCTGAGCCCTCATCACGTGGCGCTGGAAAGGGCGGGGCGCTCAGTCGTTTTCCAACGAGCCTCCTTAGCTCCACCCCTTCCCTCTGCTAGCTCCAGGAGGAAGTTAGGAGTAACCGTTGGGCTCCGCGCCACCCGGTGCTCATGCGCAGTGAAAGCCGAGGGAGGCCCCGCCCTTTTCCCTTCGCAAGCGTGAGGCAGCGGTTGGGAGTGACCGTTGGGCTTCGCTCCGCCCCCGTGCGCACGCGCAGTGGCGGCAGCGCGCGGCTGAGGGAGGCCCCGCCCGGCCTGGCTGAGTGAAGAGGGAGCTGGGAGCTGCTGTCGCCGCCGTCTCTGGGCCCGCTCTCCGTCACCAGCCCTGAGGCCACGGCGCCTTCCCCCTTCCCCGTGGGACCCGCGCGCTGGTTGCTGAGGGGAAGGATGCAGCTGCTTAGAAACCTGGATTTTTCCCTGTTTTCGGATCCTCACGAGTAGCATTTGAATGATTATTACTATTTAATTCGACCCCGCTTGAAACCTGGAACTTCTTCTTATTGTAATAGTCATTATTATCATCATCATTATTATTATTATCTAGTAAGAGTAGTATTGAACCCCCCGCCCCTCCCGGGGCACACACAAGGGGGGGAGAAGATGTCGTTCTTCAACTTCCGCAAGATTTTCAAGCTGGGTGGCGAGAAGAAAAAGAAGCAGTACGAGCATGTCAAGCGGGACCTGAACCCAGAGGAGTTCTGGGAGATCATTGGCGAGCTCGGAGACGGCGCGTTTGGGAAGGTCTTCAAGGTAAGGGACACGCAAGCAGTGTCCGTATGGTGAGAGGGAGACCCCCCCCCCCC